TAGAGAAGTATATGATTCATCTGCTGATGGATCCTCAGATTTAGATGAAGTTCCACTATCAGATGTAGAACTGCAGCCAACAGATGATGAGATGTGCCACTAAAGTAAAGACAAAAGAACGCGAAGACTTTTCACAAGTACGTGAGCTACCGCGACGTGTACGAATCAGATCCCATTCATTTTCAATTCATTTTCAATTTTCCGGTTTCCGGACAAAGGTAAATCTTGCTCATCCGTTTTAGAGGTCTGGGATCTTATATTTACGAAAAGTTTTCTACCGGAGGTAGCACATTACACCAAAATTTCACTCAGTTCTTTTGCCTTTACCAATAAACTTTCCTCGCTTAAGGTTTTCACTGGCACATATTCATCATCTGTTAGCTGCAGTTATTCATCAGATTGAGAAACTTCATTTAAATGTGTGCATCATCATCTGCTTCCTGCTCTATATCAGTTTCATGTTCACTGCACTTCTCTAAATCGTCTACTTCCAATACGTTTTCTTACTCGCTGTCCTCAATGACCACGTTTTATAAAAATACGAATATTTCGTTGTTTTGCTAGTAAATTAAGTCTATTTTTGGTATTAATTCCAATTTTGAATAGTTCCTCAGAAGAAAAAATAATTATGTTGATTTTTATAGAAGTGCAAATATTTAGTTTCTATCTGTGTTACTTTTCTATTATAAGCTCTCATCTTTTAAAATAAATAAACACTATAACTTGAATTTGCCATTTTATTTATTGAAAATAACATTAATAAATCTATACCATCCACATAAATAGAAAAAGAATATTTTTTCCTAGATTCCATTATAATTAAATACTGTGGTAAACTTCACCTGGTAACAAGTATTTGTGTCTGTAAATACCTAGCGAGTACCACCGTTACATAGAAAAGTTTATAAAAAAGGTAGACCAATCGGTAACTCAAGCATGTCCCGCGACATTAAAAAGAAAGAGAAAAAACGACGAGGACGTTAAAATTTGGATATTATTAGTGCATAACAAATTTGAACAGACCGGTTCCCATAAACGGCACCTGTTCGTAAGTATGACGTATGTGAACAAGGTGTATCAAGAAGTATCAAAGAAAAAGGTAGCACTGAGATTTCTGTTACAAAAAGGTTCATTTCGTTTTGATAACCATTCATTTAATATAAAATTATTTTTCGACGCATATTTATATGTGGACGGGCGTCGTAAATGACTTGGTTATTTATCGAAAATTTGCAATTCTAGTGACTGATGGAGTCCACCGATAACTGTAACCAACTTCAAACATATAAGGCTGCAGATACATCGTCACACCTGAGTACTACCTTCACAACCTTCCAACCATAACATTGCAGCGGGTTCACGGCTGTTTGGCGGCAGATAAGTAAAAGGGTGACAACAGAGTTAGACTCCTCATTGAAAAAAAATGAAGGCCATTTACCGAACATTGATAAAAGTTGTGATATCTGTTATTCATATAGATTAAGTCTTTAATAAAACTAATGCATTCTGATGCATTGGGATTAAATACAAACATCTAACAACATCTAGATTTCACAAACACGAACGGACATCAAAATATTAAATAAATATTTTTGTTTTAAGTGTAAGTAACATTCAAGTACTAACCCATTAAATATGCTTCGAGATTATTCAGTGTCTATTGATGTATTTTGTCTGAAAATGTTATATTTTAAGTAACTATCCCAATCCAATACTCTATAGAATATTCTCTTTTTTTAAATATACTCGTAAACATACATCATTTTATTTTTTCCTTCTAGTTAGGGAGCTGGTGGCAATACATACCAATTGATAACTATAATATGTAACATTGTTTTTATCTTCGTGCAAAGATATAAGTTTAGACTGGCTTATAAATATTTTGAAACACAGTTGGCCTCTTGTGTCTCTTTTTTATGTTGAAATTAAAAGATTACCTTTAATTGAAAATGCAGAAAAAACTAAAATTTAATATTGTTTATGTGACTTAAATCTTTACCAGTAACTGTTGAAAGATAAAAACATTTAAAAGTTCTGCCACCATCTCTCTAACTATTAACTCTATGTACATAGATATTAGACTTTCTACTGTCTTGTGGTTTTCCAACTGAATGTCCTAGAAATAAGAACGTAGTCTTTGGAAATGTACATTATTGTATTAATGTATTTTTTATGCAAAATACTTTTAAAATAGAATGATTATGTAAAAAATCTAGTAGTAGTTTAATTTTATAATAAATAATGAGTAATAATTTTTTTTAATCATATTAACTTTACAATTGCAAAAAAAAAAAATAAGACGCTAGCGGCAGACACTAATCATATAAGGACATATTTTTAAGCTTTTTAAATAATAACAAAAAATCAAATACAAATGCAGCAGTAGAACCACGCGAACTCAGTTAAATCCAGTTGAAACTCTCAAGTTATTATTTTATTATATATTTATATCTTTATATTTAATTTAATATAATAAATGACAATTACTAATATTAAAGTCAATAATAGTTTAAAATTTCATTTTATAATGTAATTTGAAAATTTGATATCCTAAACTTTACATAAATATAACGCTAACTACGCTTTAATATTTTTTCATTAAATCAATAGATATCCAGAAATAATAACATGTTATTACTTTTTATTATAATTCCGACACAAAATTCATTGAGTGATTGCAAAGTTGATTCATAAATATATGATGACCCTGTGTCAGTTGTGGACTGCGACCAAAGCATCCACGGCGGAGCCTTTAGTTCAATAATTTCTATCTACGATATTTAGAATCTACGCTCTATGCACGTTATATTCATAGGCATTGCCTACGAAACGATGCTGATTATCTTACAATAAAACTTATCCCATTTAGTTACAGTACTTAATTTTATATCTTTCATAGAAATTTGGCAGTTACAGTTTAGTGAACAGGCAAAGACTAAGGTTATCAATAGTGTACAAAGGATTTAATCACATTCTAAGAAGTTAGAGAGGGTCCGCTAAGCTATACCTACAGTAGACCCTCTTGCTAACATACGAATATCTAATTCATCGAATAGAAATTGTAGTTTAAAAATCGCAACCGCGCGGGCGCGGTGGCAAGAAGGCACGGTGTGGGAGGCGCGACGGCGGCTGTGGCGCGGCAGAGCGACCGGCGCCGCCGCGCGCCATCAGAGTGGAAAACATCGCGCTGATCGGCGTGGTTCACTTGCACCGCGCCTTCGTTTCGGTACTACGACTGGCAAGTTTGTCCGCGTGCTTTCAGCTTCACTTTCACTACCACCACCTCCGCAAAGTCGTTCTGGCTCTATGGGTTCAAGCTTATGCATAGATGGCCTACTAGATAGTCTTGCACTATCAGCTGCGGGAGTGGATGCTGGTCGCTCTGGCGGTTCGTCTAAATCTATCCGTCCAAGTTTCAGAGCTAGTGCGTATTCAGAACGTTCTATAACGCTAGGCAGTTCTTCGGCAACTGTCGTTTCTGCAAGGGTAGAGTCAGCTGCAGCAGAATCCGCGCGAGGTGAATCAACTCGAACCGACAGATAACGTCGCGTGCCAGTCGAAGACGGTGATGTATCAGGAGGAAGTCGTTCTGGTGTTGCAAAAACCGAGTCAGAGGCCCAACTACGTGATTCTGAAGTTTGACGAAAAGTGTCATCAACGCTGCGTTGTGATGTGCGTCTACTGACCCGCGGGCTTTCATCATCAATCGGCCGAAAATCTAGGGCACTTAAGTCAAACGGTCCCACGCGATGTTTTGACCCATCTCGTCGAAAAGATGGTCTATGAGATATAAAAGCTGCATCATATAATTCACATAGGCTCGTGCGATCAGAATAAGGCTCTTCATATAGAGTAAGATTTCTTGTTTCTGTAGCATCCGATGGAGTTTCATCACGATTAGAAGTGACTTCACTTCTCTCTGATATATCAAATGTGAAGCGTTGTTCGAACCTGTCTGGACTTAGAAGAGGTGCAGACCGTGAACAATCTTCTGATTCTTGAGTACCACTTTCAAGTGGTAGAGGACGTAAACCAGATCGCCGTGGCGATGTTTCTTCTGAGTCGGTTGACCGATCAGAACGAGGAGCGTGGTATATTTGACGCCGAGTAAGTGCAGGTTGAGAGCCACATGGAATTCGCTTGCAACAAGTGCGCTCATGTCGTACATCTGAGCCACTACTACCTGTTGATTTTGAATGTGGTGGACGACGGCGTCGATCATCTTCCCGGCCGTAAAGTGAGGTAAAATCTTCGGAACAAAATTTTTCAAAAAGTTCCTGCGAGCTTAGTCGTGTAGATCCAGTAGCATTGTAAAATGCTTCAGTTGGAGATTGATCTGTACGCTCATAAAGTGCACTGGAACTTGCTCGCTTTGATTTATCCATCAAGCCTAGTTTATATATTTTTGGCAACCGGCGCTCGAAGACACCTTGTGATTGAGCCCGGGCAGGCCCTCGGAGACCAAGTGCACCATCCCTCCGGTCAAGTACACGGTCCGAGGAAACACCACGCATGTGCGGATATGCTTTAGGTAAAGTTTCAATTGGGGGAGAGGTGACGAACTCTGGTTCGTATTCGTCTTCATCTTCTTGCGTTTCGGCGGAGGGTCCCGAACGCTCGAGTGATCTACGACATTCACATTCTACGTCATGATCACTTATATCGCCTTCGTCAAAGGAAGGAGCACGAGGGCCATGCCCAAACGCGCGACGACGTTCTACAGCCGCTCCTTCTTCGTCTTCGAGGCGTATAGAGCGTCGTAGTGGTGGTCTGTCACGACGTGGTCGACGAGGAGCTTCAACTGTAGCAGCATGTGCAAGCGGTGGACGTGAGGCAGAAGGAAGAAGTCGATCAAGTGACAATCCACGACGAGGACGTAAAGGTCGCTGATGGCGCTTATCACGTGGAACTGCTGTAGGGCTTAATTCCTCAGGGGTAGTAGGTAATGCTGCACCGCGCCCAAACTCGATGAACCAGAGTTCGTCTTTAAGTTCACACTCTCACTTCTTTTCATTCATATCTTTGTTTAAATAGTGCAACACATAATGTAGCACGAGATCGTAGCAGTATTTGTACTCGGTCTGAAAAAGAAAATGGAAAACCATGAAGAGTAGCAAGTAGTAGTAACCTTTGAAGTAGCCCATGATTAACAAAACGGACTACGAAACCAAAAAGTCGTAAGTTTAGATGTGCCATTTTACTACTGTCGTGAACCAGTCACAGCATAAGCGTCTGAAAATCATTATTATTAACATATACTGGGATTCTCAATTACCATTTTAATTTATAATTTTAAGAAATTCTTTATAGCTCACCATATTTTCGACAAGTTGTGGTCGATGACGTCGTACGGTTTTGACGGCTTGGAATACATCCACTTCGCCGTGTTGGATCACTTGCTCGATACATGCATTCGCTGCGCAGTATACTCCCGCACGACTTCGTCCATCACTGTTGTAACATATATAATAAATAGAATAGAATAGAATTTATTAATTTCTATTTAATACTCGCTTGTACCCAGCAATTGTTGCCGCAAAAGAAATAATTGTGGAAATATCGTTTTAAATTTGGAAGAGTTATATTGTTTATTTGGGCATGCTAATTAGTTATATTGTGGAAATTGAAATTGAATGTCTATAATTTTCGTATTAAATTTTGGTACGTTACACGCTCCAACGTAAGTTAATTGTAATATGCTATCTTTCGCGCAAGTGTGAACAAGTTGACAAAGTTTTACCGCATTCTGATGAATGATATGGCAGCGCAAATAATGAACAAACAAACATTATTTTTATATTATATTAGATAGATTATAAGAATACGTATTATAAGTCATTTATGCTTTTACTACTGGTTCAGGAAAAAACTTGTGTTCTGAGAAGAACCAGCAAAATACTCACTGGGTCTTTTTTAAACATTAATATGATAAATAATATGTTCTAAAATTAAATATCAAAACATTTACAAACAACATGGTACCGATCACCTCATTCCCAGCACGGCTAGCATGGGCTGGGGACAAAAAAATTTCCCCCCGATTATATCCACTGACAAAAGATAAAATTATCTTGTTCCTATGCTAAAGCACGGCAACGGGGAGAAGTATTTATTTAGTTTGATGTAACGAGTAGACATATATCCCCCGTTCGTAGCATAGAGCCAAATGAAAGATAAAAGTTATGCTTTTTTGACATTTTAAAGGGGCAATTCTATACTAGTTCATTGGACGTGGTTTTAAGTTTATATTCATACAAAAATCTAAGTCTAAGTCTATCGCCTATTTTATCTACTGTGGATATCCCCACCGGTGTGCCCATGCTCGAAGGATGGATAAAACTAAAAACTAAACATTTTCTCCTTTCCCCGGGGATAAAATTGTCTCCTGCATTATTAATCACATACCCTTTAGTAATATAACCCTTTTCAAATAATTTTTGATATATTGCTAAGAATCGATTGCCGATTTACATCACAATATTTTGTGTTGAAATAAAAATTTACTTACGGCGACACGACACAAACTGGGCCATAGTCAGTACGTTGTCGCCACCGTTCCACCATATTCATGAGTTCTACTAGTGAGTTGGTGGAAGAAGGTACTTTATGGCCCATTGGCCAACATGTTAGCTGGAACAACTGCACCGTTTTTGGGGGAGCCTTTACACCAGCCATTAATTCCGTAAGTGAGACAATCTAGAAAAATAGCAAATAAATAATGTCTGAATTATAAATATTTAGTTTCCTTAGACAGCGTATAATTCAAAGAGACTACTATACCTTTTTATTAATTCTAAATATCCATGTTTTGATATTCGTATAATGGTTGTGAGAAACATGGTCTATTGTGAATACTGGGCCATATTTTTTAGAATGTCGACCTTCTGGCCAAAATGGAGGATATTGTTGCTGAAATTAAGAATAACGTACTTTAGTAAAACTTTTAATAATTATTTACTGTAAACTAAATGCATGTATAAGCTTACAGAGTTTTTAGGAGGAACGCATAACACGACAACTGCAGCACATTCATAATCATAAACCAAGGACCAAAATTCTCCTTGAGTTCTTATTAAAGGCCATTCCGTAACTATGTACTCCCGAGGCTTGGTATAACCCTGAAAGTTGGTAAAGTAAATAAGCTGCGAATATCGTAAATGATTTTTGTTTGTAGGTAATAATATTCCATGGCTTCCAACTTACATCGACAAATACAGCATTGATATAGTCAGTAAAACTATTTCCTTGGAAGGACGTCAAGTATGGACGAAAATTATCCGCTGCAAAATGAAATAAAATGTATATTTTACTAATTTAAAACTGATTTTTTAAAATATATTTTTAATATAATTAATACTCGTAGAATCAGGCGTTACTTTGCGGAAATCCGTTATATTAAAGATGTCAAAAAATATTAGCTAAGATCCGCATAATAAAATAACATAATGTGTGTTACCTAGTTGGAAGAGAAATATATTTTTCTTTTTGTTTGATGATACTTACGTGGAACTACTAATACGTCACGGTTCTTTTCTCTATTGTCTCCTCTATGACCACCAGCACAGTCACCAATGGTGAATCTTGGAGTCTGTTTACAAATTTGTTGATACTCCTTTTGATATTCATTAAGTTTCGTTACTGGATCTCTTTGAGATTTCTGTTTCAGTCTTTGCGAAAGTTCAGAAACTGGGAACCATGATATACCACAAACGACGTGTTCCTCTAACGTATCATATACGAACTTGTATTGCTCCTAGACATAAGGAAAAAGTAACTATAAATCATTTATTCAATTTATTTACACCAACGTATTATAGGAATTGATTAAAACTGTTTCTCGAAGAGATGTAACTATGTTCGGAATTCTTTAAAAGTGGAAACAGATGCCATAAAACTGTTATTACACAAAAAAAATTATATAACACACCTAAGATATGTAAAAAATATCAGATAATGCTTTTGCAACATAAAAATAAATTTTATACATTTTGTTTAAAAATTCACCTCATTTTCTATAAGTCCTTTACGAGATTGTCGCAATTTCTTCAAATATCCAAATACATCAAAGCAGTCTTCTTCTTCGGCTAGTTCTAGATTTGCATCGATAGCTAAGTACACTCCTGAACGTCCTCCTCCATCACTATAATAATAAAACGAGTAATTGACACCTTTAATATTACTATTACAAATCTTTAATACCATTAATTATAAAGTATGCATGTAGACGGTCTCAGTCTTAGGACTTACTTGCAGTGAACTACCATTGGACCCGCAGCTGTGTTTGTTGCCAACCTTCTTCCGACAACAGCCCTTACCCGCCGTCTAAACTCAAGTAGCGCGTTGCTAAAGGGGCATGTATGCGAGTGCCATTGAGTATAATGAAACTGCAGAATGAAGCGCTCCTCTACAATAATCTGAATAAAAACAAATATATTATTTCCACTTGCAAAACATTTCAGATTTGAATTTTAACTCTATGTAATTTTAACTGTCAAAGTAAAATATACAAAAGAGTAGCACAATACTTTATGCGAATCGCATTTGCCAAGTCACCTATGTATGTTACGTTATTTTATTCTCTTGATTGAGGCGAGGACAATGTCCAGCGAGAAGATTCAAAAAAAAAAATAATATTAGTCTAAAATCATCTTGAAAATAACAGGCTATTGCAGTTCTTGATCACCAAATGAATTCAAATGAAGAGGCTACAAATGCGTTTATTTTTGGAACGAAGTTCCTTATCGCACACGCTATTTTTTCTGGCATTCTGTGACAGTGTGGTCCTTCCCCGGTTGAGCTGACCTACGGACAAACGTTGTCACATCCAACGAATAAAATAAAATGCCTCACAGATGTCAAATAAAGCCGTGCCAGACATCTTGGCTTGCACTTTTAATGTAGCTTACTTATTACAGTAATTGTATTGACACCTGGTGGAAAACAAAATATTTTCCAGCTTTTCCCATAGGCGTCTTAAAATGGGGTGACGGATTTTTTTACGTCGCCACCAGACGGCAAGTTCTTTTTTATTAATTGCATACATACGAGTAAATTAATTTGTGTTATAAAATAGTAAAAATTTCAAAATATTTACATCTTTTTCGCTCTTATAGAGCCTAAATGTGCGGATGTGGAAATTCGCCAACTCTTCCTCTTGCACGATGCCGACACTGATGTCACCATACTTTTCATCTTTTTCTTTATTAGGCGGCCAGTATTGAACACACATAACCTATTTAAAATAAATAATAAAATATAGTTTTTTTATATTTAAATATCATTAAGTTTAAAGAGGTACTTATTTTGTAAATAGTTTGGTTATAAGTAAACTTTTTAGATTTACCTTTATGAAATCAAAAGTTTTCGTTAGCATCACTATTGCAGCAGCCCTCTCCTGCCATATCATGCGCCAGAAGTCCACTACAGTCTCTTCAGTTGGCCCCTGTGTTACTATGTAAGCGTTTGGCTTTAATGTACTCTGCGAATAAAGTATATTGCTCGCGTTATTTAAAGTAAAGCAATTGCTTTATAAGTAATAATTTTACCGACTTCCAAAAGTTCGCAAATTTCAACAGTTCGTTGCGGTGAAAATTTTAGAGCAACAAATTTTTAAACTTGGTACATAATTAGCACATAAAAAGCCCCTGATTTGGGCTTTTTATAAAAGCAATTTTAATTCTATTTTGATTTTCAGAAAACCTGAATTTTGCATCTGCTATGTTCTGAATAACGACCTTATTTTTATTACGGGCGCTTTGTTATTGCGTATACTTGCAGCACCTAATTAGCACTTAATTCCTTGCTATTAATATTTATAGTATTAGATATACGATAAATATTAACTTCATTGCGTTGCTAGCGAGACGTTTTGCTGGCAAGGCAAATTTCAAAAAATCGTTACGGTGAAAATTTTAGAGCACCTAATTTTTAAACTTGGCACCTAATTAGCACCTAAAAAGCCCCTAATTTTGGGTTTCTCTAAATGCAAATTCCTGACTTTGCGTTGCTGGCGAGACACAGCTGTGGCTAGAGTAGTTGGACCCTTAGACTTTGCCTATCCCCCGGGGATACAGGTGTGACGCTATGTCATACAATATTTATATATAAATATTAAATTAGATTATATGTAGAGTATAACAGATGTATGAGTATTTCCCATAGTTGCTACGCCTGGCCAGCGAGTCGGCAACGGCAGTTTGTTACTTTAATTTGGTAATTCTCAGGAAGACGCTGCTGCCCATCTCCTGGTTTTGTTTCCATCTGTCACCTCTTACAACACACACGGGATGATATGGGGTAGTGGACATTCTTTCACCGTAACTACACGGTTATATATCAAGAGATATATATAAAAATTGTTATAACATACATATAGAAGGTTATTAGTTTAAACTTTACTCACATCTATGTAAGAAGCGTTTATATAATCAGAATCTGGTTCGCGGTCTACTGTATCCAGCACCACTCTGTTGTAGTCGTCTGTAAATATATGAAATTAATTGAATATTGTATTTAATTAAAAAATAAGTAGGTTAAATGGGTTTTATTTTTTGATATCAAAAACAATTTTGTAGTTAAAAGCAAAATTAAATAATCTGAAAAAGCCCACGACGGACAGAAAAGTTGTAATCGAAAAAGGATTAAATAAATTTGAAAAAACCCCGATTAAAAGGAAGTAAGTAACGAAAAAGCGTTTTAAAAAGGGTTGATTTCGTTGAAAGTTGGCAATTTCTGTGCAGATCGGAATTTCGCTGATACCACCGGGCTCCGGTGGCTTTAGGAAAGAAGCTATTTGGACGACTTGGAGGCCGTAGAAACTAGTTGGCTCATCTATTGTAGTGGGCGATGAAGAGTTCCGTGTCATCGTGTTATTACATAGTGTTAGCTACTGGGTCCTTCGGGATGTCACTGTTTAAGAGAGGGAAGAGGACAGGGCCCTTTTGTACTTCAGCCTTTAGAAGGCACTTCCAGTAGCGTGGAGATAACGAAAATAGTGGTTGGCACGTTTAGTTTGTACTGCTCGTCAGGAAGAAGATTTGTGAGCACGTATTTTTGGAGGCGATTTAATAAGAGTTGCTCGTAAATATTCCCCAGTATGCTGAGGAGATTGATTGGTCCATAGCTGGAAGATAAGTGGCGCGGTAGTCCCGGTTTCAGGATTCCTATAACGTCTGCCTCTTTCCAGGCATCCGGGAAGGACTAACTGGAGAGAAAAGCGTTAAAAATGCCTACTAAGAGGCATGCAAGTGATGAGAGATCGCTTTCAGTATCCTGGTGCTAATGCCGTCGGGGCTGGTTGCTGACTTGTTTTTGAGACTTGATGATTTCTGTGACTTCATCGATAGTCACAGGATCTAAGGGGGTCGCCCGCAGGTGTTAGTGCAGATATACGCTCGACCTCAGCTTCGACCTCTGGAATGTGAGCGGGTTCTATATGTTGGCTAGACTCCCACATTGGCTCTCTAAACTGTCCGTGAGGCAATTGACTTTTTCAGAATCGTTGAAGGTAAGATTGGGGTTTCCTGGCCTTATGACAGGTGGCATGGGGTGAGGGCTGTTGTACTTTCAGAGCTCGGGTCTATCACCAGAAAGCGGTTTGAGATTTGCTTGATATCCTCTAGAAGGTTGTCACACTTATATCGTCTATCTGGGTCTTATACTTAACGTTCTCTTTTATTTTACTTAAAATATATATTATACATTCATATAAATAAACTTACATGGTATAACCTTCTGGTTTTGATTTTTGTGTAAATTTGTTTTCTTTGTCGCATGACGGCAAGAATGTGTTTCTACCTTTGCTGCAGTCTGAAATTAATAAAGTATTATTTTGATTATTTTGTAATCTATACAAATAAATAAAATTGAAGTGTCTGTTTGTAATGTTAAAATATCAGCTTTTTACTAAATGCATATGAAAGTATATACGGTACTTATAACAAAAACACAATTTTTAAAATTTTTGTCTGTCTGTCTGTCGGTCTGTCTGTCTGTCTGTTTGTTCCGGCTAATCTACGAAACGGCTGGACCGATTTCGACGGAACTTTCACTGGCAGATAGCTGATGTTATAAGGAGTAACTTAGGATACTTATATTTTAGAAAATTAATTAGAGTTCCGCGCAACATAATTAAAACCGTAAATTACACGCGGGCGAAGTCGCGGAGAACAGCTAGTCTTATATATAACTAGCTGTCCCTCGCGACTTTGCCCGCGTGGAATTTACTACGATTTCATGGGTTTTAATGTTTTGCGCGGAAGCCTAATTATTTTTCTAAAATAAAAGTTGTTACTCCTTATAACATCAGATATATGCCAGTGAAAGTTGTCGTGAAGCGACAATTAAGAATAAAAGAACCTAACCTAACAACAACGTAACAACAAAAATGGAACAAAAACGAATAATTTATTTAAAATTTAAAAAGATATTTACAGTTTTATATAAAAAAATGAAGTATGATGATGATGATGGATGACGTGAATTACAATTATTTAAAAAAAGATAATGAAGATAGATGAGTACTGAAGCGGAGCCCGAAGACCAAAGTGGCACACCGCGCTTGGCGGTGGTGCTCACCGCTCACGGAGTATGAACAGGCCTTGCCTGTGTTAGGTGCGCAGCGCCTGGTCTAGGCACACGCAGCGCCTGGAGTAGGCACACGCAGCGCTTGGAGTAGGCACGCACGAAAAATGAATTTAAAATAGTGTAAAATGATATGTAAGTAGCATAACACTACAAAGTCCCATCAAAATCGGTCCAGCCGTTTCGGAGATTAGCCGGAACAAACAGACAGACAGATAAACAGACAGACAGACAAACGTTTTAAAAATTGTTTTTTGTTATTAGTATCGTATATACTTTCATATGCATTTAGTAAAAAGCTGTTATTTTAGCATAACAAACAGACACTTCAATTTTATTTATTTGTATAGATATGGCTGAGTTGAGAGATGCGAGTTGGATTCTTGCATGAGACAAGTATATGAGTGATTTCTAGTGTTGGGATAAGGTTTTTAAAACATATGAAATTAATATATGATAGAATTATCATCATTTCAACCTATCAAAGTCTACTGTTGAACATATGCCTTCCCCATGGATTTCCTTGTAGGGAGGATATTTGCCATTTATTGGATTTCTTTTCAGGAAGAAACTGTTTCAGTTTGCCTCTGTTGCTTCTTACGACAACCATCGAATGATATGACGTAGTGGATTTTCTTCTACGCGGCGAAAAGGAACTACTCGAAAATACATAATTTAATAAAAGTATTTAAACAACTTTCAAAATAATAAACCAGAATGATAGGGTTCAAAGTCTTAAAGAATAATATACCTGGAATTCAAGTTTGTATAAAACGGGAAATTTTCTTCTTTGTTCGCAAAGCTTCGGAAAGTTCTTCAGTTCAACTGGCCGGTCGGGTATCGTTTCCGATATCGAACCATTTTCGTCCGCTGTGAAACAATTATAAATTATTTATAAGTTTAGTAATTTTTCGCGTTGTTTCAACGACTTAGATGTTATTTTTCAATTTTTTTCAAAAGAGTAACAATTATTTTCTTTCGTTTTTTATGATTCTGTAGTTAACAATGAGGAACCCTTATAGTTCCGCCGTGTCCATTCCGATCGTCCGACCGTGGTTTTACTCGGAGACTGGGTGCTACAAAGCTGTAATTTGGCATAGTTATAGATATTAATCAAACCTACAAAGTTATGAAATAAAACCTTGAAAAGATTTTCATTTTAGGTACCTCCTATTCAGGTGTTGTTTTATCTGTCAATTCCATCATGTGGTGTGTCTTGGATAGGTCTTTTCAAAATATTGAGAGTATGAGGCAACATTCTTTCGATTTAGGGGTTTGTTTGCGAAATATTTAGCTTTAAATAATAAATGCTTCTTTCTTTCTTCTTTCTTTAAATTGGTATTTACTTGCTTCAGCACGGGTTATTTCTTGCGCGCATATGAATAGTGCTGCATCGGCGTATTATCGCATTATTAGGCAACTTTTGCGTATAAACGACTTTTAGGACTTTTATACGTGGTAGAGCCATGCTGCAGCTATATTAGTAGTATAGTTGTAGCACGAATGGGTCGGCTCGACCGAGGAAGGACCACGCTCTCACAGAATACCAGCGTAAAATAGCAGCTTAATCCTGCTGTGTTTCGTATGGTGAATGTAGAGAACCGGAGACCCTTTTTACTGGATAAGAGGCATTCCATCTTAGTCCTCACGGGTGACAACGCATCTGCATTTTGATTCGTAAACGAGGATAAATGTCAGGTGTCTATGGGCCACAGCAACCACCTACCATCAGGTGGACTGTGCTCGTTTGTCACTCTATCATATAAAAAAATTTTTTGCATGCTTTTATTAGGAGGAAACTGAATAACTTTCAGTTTCCTGTATATATGTTTTTTTACAAACTTTGATTTTGCAGAAATGGCACACATGATCACGATCCATGTCCATTACAAAACTAAGCTAATCGCTAATCTTTTCGAACTAGGTATTCATGATTATATATTTTATTTGTGTCCAGAAAAGGTAAAATACTGCAATTTACTTGTTAATGCAGAAAAACGCGTGACGATTTCCATTTACAGCAAAAGTCAAATGATGTAACGGAAACGCGTTGCCACAGAATGCTGCGCTGTCACGTCCTTGGATAAAGTGTCATTGATTTTTCTAAGGTCACGTCACTTAATAACGGAAATAAAATGTCATCACCATCATCATTATCATTACAGCCTTTCACAAGTCAACTGCTGAACATAGGCCTCCCCCAAGGAATGCCACAAAGCACGGTCCTGAGCCACCATCATCCATCGACTTCCCGCATGTCTTACCAGGTCGTCACACCATCTCGTGGGGAGTCGCCCTACACTTCGACTGCCGGTACGAGGTTTTTTTTTTATAAGATAAGGGTGACAAACGAGCACACAGTCCACCTGATGGTAAGTGGTTGCTGCGGCCCATAGACTTCTACATCTATCCTCCATTACAAATCAAAATGTAGATACGTTGTCACCCGTGAGGACTAAGATGGAATGCCTTATTTCCAGTAAAAAGGGCCTCCGACCACCTGCACTCACCAAGCGAAACGCAGAGAACCTCCACTTCACGCTGGTTTTCTGTGAGGTCGTGGTACCACCCCGGTTCGAGCCGGCCCATCCGTGCGACAGCAAAAGCTGCCGCGTGGCTCTACCACTGATTAACTGCCACTCAGGAAACTTTCTTCCCCATCGGTTATCGGTTCTTCGAGCTATATGGCCGGCCCACTGCCACTTCAGCTTACTAATCCGTTGGGCTATGTCAGTTACTCTGGTTCTACTGCGAATATCCTCATTTCTAAGTTTATCACGCAGAGAAACCTCGAGTGTAGCCCTCTCCATAGCTCGCTGAGCGACCTTGAGCTTCCTCATTCGGCCAGCAGTGAAGGACCACGTCTCAGATTCGTAAGTCATCACTGGCAACACGCACTTGTTGTACAATTTCGTTTTAAGGTTTTGAGGTATGTCTAACGAGAAGATGTGTCGTAGTTTCCCGAACGCTGCCCAGCCGAGTTGAATCCTTCGGTTGACCTCTCGGTCGAAGTTGGACTTACCTAGTCGGATTATTTGTCCCAGGTAAACATACTCATCAACAATTTTGAGCTTAGTGCTCCCAACAACTACCGGCATAGGTGTGTAATGGATGTTAAACATGATTTTTGTTTTGTCCATGTTCATCTTAAGACCTATCCGTTGGGAGACACTATTCAGGTCATTGAGCATAGTGCTTAGGTCCTACAGCGATTCTGCCATAAGGACTATATCGTCGGCAAATCGAAGGTGAGTGATGTACTGCCATTGATGTTGATACCGCATCCTTTCCAGTCCAGCAGCTTGAAAACGTCTTCCAATGCAGCGGTGAAGAATTTCGGGGATATAACATCGCCCTGTCTTACACCCCTCTGCAGTTGGATAGGTTTCGTACTCTGACTCTGTACTCGGATAGCCATCGTAGCTCTATTGTACAAACACTTCAGCACTTCGATATACCGAGAGTCAACTTGGCACCGCTTAAGGGACTGCAGCACCGCCCAAATTTCGACGGAATCAAAGGCTTTCTCATAGTCCACATACGTAAGGCAAAGTGGCAGATTATACTCCTCTGTTTCTTGTATAATTTGCCGAAGGGTATGTATGTGGTCTATGGTACTAAAGCCTTTTGGGAAACCGGCTTGTTCAGGAGGCAGGAAGTTGTCAAGTCTGCGTGCGAGACGATTCGTAATGGCTCTCGAAAACAGCACGTACACGCGGCTCAGAAGGGAAATCGGTCTGTAGTTCTTCAAGAGAGCGCTGTCACCTTTCTTGAAGAACAAGACCACTGCACTTCTGCTCCACGCCTCCCGTGTAATGCCACCATGAAGGACGGAATTAAAGAGCTTCTGAAGGACTTCAAGTACCGGTCTTCCACCCGATTTCTAAAGCTCCGCTGTAATTCCATCCTCGCCCGGGGACTTTCCATTTTTAACAATTCCGAAGATATCCCGGACGTCAGTCCTCATCTTCGGAATAGTGTCGGATAAGACTCGCTCTTGGATTGTTACTCACACTCGCGTGTGGCTCCAACGATGACGTGTACAGCTGGCCATAGAACCTCTCAATCTCACTAAAATTCTCAGGTGTCCCGGAAACGATGCTGCCACATTCGTTCTTCAGCTTTGACAGTTGGCTCTTTCTGGCAGACAGATCTCGTGCAAAGACTTTGGAGCCTTGGTTCCGCTCGATCGCTTCTTCAATACAAGCTGTATTGAAGTTGCGTAAGTCCCGCCACATGCAATTGGAGATCTGCCTGTTCAGTTGCCTGTATGCTGTTAAATCTGTCTGTCTAACAGCCATGAGATTAAGAGTGTGATCGGAGAGTTTTTGTGTTTTTCTGCGGCGGGTCTTGCAGAACTTAGCTCCGACCGCATGGACAGTTTCCACGAGCTTATCATTTATATCGTTCACTTAATTGCAGTCTTCTAGGCACTGAAAACGGTTTTGTAGCTCGAGCTGAAAGGTTTCAGGACTTTGGAACAGAGCACGAGGGGGACGGAGCGTTGACTTCATTAGACGAGACCTCTCCAACTTAACGTTTAGGTTCAGTGTGCCTCTAACCATTCCGTGATCGCTAGTTGGTCAGAACGTCTGGTCATCATAATGAAGTCAATCTCATTTTTTGTCGAACCGTCGGGGCTCGACCGGGTCCACTTCCTGTGGGGCCGCTTCTGGAAGAAAGAGTTCATCATAAAGAGTCCCTCTTTCTCCATGAAGTCGGCCAACTGCTGGCCCATTGGGTTCCGTTGCCCTATTCCAAATTTCCCTACTTTCAGCTTACCGTTCTCTCTTATGCCTAGTTTTGCATTGAAGTCTCCCATTAACACCGTATAGTGGGTTTTGGAGGTATTCAAGGCTCTAGAGATATCCTCATACATTCCCTCCACCTCCTCATCGGGGTGTGCCGAGGTTGGTGCGTAAACCTGTATGACCTTCAGCGAATACCGTTTGATGATTCTGAGTATGAGGTACGCAACCCTCTCCGACACACTCTCGATCTTTACAATGTTGTTAACGAGAGACTTGTGGACGATAAATGCGACACCTCCTTGGGACAGATGTTCGCCCTCCCGGTGATAGAGCAAGTTACCGCATTCGAGGATTATCGTGTCCTCCCCCTTTTTTCGGACCTCGGATAATCCTATAATGTGGCAGCGTAACTTGTCTATCTCTTCTTCCAGCTTCACGATCTTCTCGTCAGTCCTCAGGGTGCGTGCGTTGTATGTTGCCAGGTCGAGTCGTCTTAGGTGGCAACCGAACCTCCACCGGAGATTCTTACTGCTCACTGCTGGCCATATGAGGAAGCTCAAGGTCGCTCAGCGAGCTATGGAGAGGGCTATGCTCGGGGTTTCTCTGCGTGATAAACTTAGAAATGAGGATATCCGCAGTAGAACCAGTAGATTAGTAAGCTGAAGTGGCAGTGGGCCGGCCATATAGCTCGAATAACCGATAACCGATGGGGAAGAAAGGTTCTTGAGCAGCCTCGTACCGGTAGGCGAAGTGAAGGGCGACGACGAGATGGAGTGACGACCTGGTAAGACATGCAGGAAGTCGATGGATGCAGGTCACTCAGGACCGCGCTTTGTGGCATTCCTTGGGGGAGGCCTTTGTTCAGCAGTGGACTTGTGAAAGGCTGTAATGATAGTGGTAGTGTGTGAGAGTACGTAATTTATTGTGTCAGTTCATATATTTTTAATGTCCGCCGTCTATGTGTATTTAAGTGTCTGTCAATCCAAATTGTACAACTTATACGTTTCTTTGAAATTCCGTTTATGGTATGCTATAAATTTACATTTAATAATTTCATTAGTTGTACCCGCTAAAGTGATAGTTTTTCTCCCTTCTCTCATTTCAATTTAATTAAAAATA